TCCTCTAACACTTTTATTAAAACATGTTTCTGATATGACAAATATTTTAAGAAATATAAGCAATATTCCACAATTTGTATCCACACTGTATTTCAGTATTGAAAAAATAAATAATTTGCTACCTAATTTGGATTTGTTTTGCTCACTAGAACTAGTATGATAGACACACATTAAATTTGACATAATGACAGCCGATTTGAACCTCACATTTTCAAGTCTACTTCACAAAGGCCAATTATAGACAATTTGCTTATAAGAGTCGTCCACTATACATACCTACCATGTTTCTATAATTATCAATTATGACTTGTCAAATATATAATTTTAATTTATGATGTAGTACTGTATATTATTTTCTTTTTTAGAAAGTTTGAAAAGAATTGCCAACATTAATAGGACAGATTTATTGAATAAAATTGAGAAGCATAAGCCTCTATTGAGAAACAAGAAGGGATGTGAAGAAATTCTGGAGTATTGCAGTAATACATCTATTTTATTTTGACTGTAGATATAAATAAGTTGCATTTTTTGTATTTTATTGAAATGATAGTAAATTATTTCAATTTATTTATTCCATAGTTTTAACGTTTTGTATAGCCAACACTCATCTCATTAGCTACATTGTTACTGGTATAGACTTTTTAGTAGTGACGTCACATACACTAAATAATAGGCAACCCTATAGTGCACATTGCCATTAAGAATTTCTCAATATTTTAATAGATCAATTTTCGACCTTATGTACTTTGGACGTGCCAAAAAAATGTTTTCTTTGTCATGACCATAAATATTGCGATATTCTGGCAATATTAGAAAGTTTCAAACCCTAAGTGACAAACTAGTAGAATTATAGAATTTAAATTTATAGAACAGTATTGTCTTTTATAGTAATTAATAAATTAAAATTATATCAATGTTACTGAGCATGTGCATTAAAGGTAATTTCATATAAGTGAAGTAGCCTCGCAACAGGATATCATTCAAGGAAAGTTTGGTTATGAATAAGAGTACGTCTATAATAAACCACTTGAAGACAAAACACTCGATAAACACCGTACACAGTACACAGTACAACACTAAGAAAAACGATAAGAATACTTAAGAGAGAACTAGAAAATGCCGATATTAAACAAAACAAGGGAATATACACTAATGATGACAGCGATGACATATCAACAAGAGTTCACCTGTGTATGAGGCTATTCTTTCCGAGCATGAGCATTAGGAATAACGTGGCTAATGTTAAATTTTTACTTTATTTAAATTTAGAAATTTTCTATATACACTAATGTATCTATTTCTTTTTTTAATAATTTCTAATTTTTGGCTAGTACCGAGAGTAATTTTTGTGGATTAACTTAAATTAATTATTTTCATCGTAAGATCGAAGGAAGTGATTGCATTTTTTTGCAATGAAGTTATTTCTCCGCATATTTTTAACATTTTATTTGTGGTAAAAGAAGTGATTTCCTTATCAGCTGACAGTGTTTACAAATAGCAGCAATAAAAGTGATCCTTAATACAGGCCAGGAAGTAAATAGTGAATGATTTAAAGCCATTTTTAACTCAGGCCTAGATATATAAATAGTCATGAGGTGTTTTATTTGTAAAGTTGATGACACCGATCGTAGTAATTTTGTGAAATGTGATAGTTGCTCTTAAATCTTCACAAGGAGTGCTCAGAACTTAATTCCGCTGAAGTTAAGATTATAGAATTAAGAAGTAAGCGAACTCTCAAGTTCTATTGCGATGATTGTTCTAGTGTACGTCAACAGGTCCCTAAGCTTATTAAAGTGGTAGATGAGCTCAGAATGGAACTGGAAAGCCTCAAACAGAAATTAGAAAATGTTTCCTTGCAAAATTCTAGTAACAAAACCGATTTTCAAATGGATGTAGCTTTTCAGGAGCTTAATAATCGTCAAAAACGTGCAAATAATATTATAATTTTCAATTTACAAGAAAAGTCTACTGCTGCCAAAGAGATTGATAGTGTTCATGAGATATTATCTGATATTGTATCTGATCCTGTGTCTATCTTATCCACTTCAAGGATAGGAAAGAAGAATAAAAATGGCATTCGCCCTTTAAAAGTGACTTTACCTAGAAATGAAATTGTCATGAATAGCGTAAAGAACCGATCTAAGATAAAGCAAGATCGTAAAGTTTTTATAAATATTGATCTTACCCCACTACAACGTGATAAATATAGAAGTCTGGAGGAACAATTAAAATATCGTACTGATAATGGTGAACAGCATCTAGCAATTAAATATATCCGCGGAATTCCACAAATTGTTACTAAAAATAACTAATTACTCTCATCAGTTCCCAAAATAATTTATCATAAAGACCGAAACCTGAAACTTGTAGATAAACTTGGAGGGGGAGGTGTATTATTGGCTGTCAAGAATGCTATGCTTTGTGATAGTATTGATACGTCTTTCCTTGACAAGTTTTCCATTAATTGATTTTCTGGTATGTAAATGTTCATTTTTCCACAAAATAGTTTATATATCAGTAATTTATAGTCCACCTTCTGTACCTATTGACATTTTTTAATCATTTTGTGAATATTTGGGGCAGCTTAATTTTTTTAATAACAGAATAGTTATCCTCTTTAATATCCCTAAATTTTTTAATTTAGACAATGCAGACAGGAAAACGAACGCAATTAATAACTTAATAAATATACTGCATCTTTGTCAGTATGTATTAAATCATAATCTCCGTTTGCTTGATTTAATTTTATCAAATTCTGAATGTAAAGTTGTACATGATGATACATCTCTTGTTCTTGAGGACTTACATCATCCTGCGTTAATTATAGATTTCGAGCATATACTTATCAATGAGAGTGCCTGTCAAACTAATATTAATAAAAAACTCTATAACTTTAAAAAAGCTAATTTCCCAGATTTGTATAATACTTTATTTCATACTAACTGGCCATTTTTAAATGATTATGATGATATTAATACGGCCTTAAAAATTTTTTATGAACGTTTGTATGAAATATTTGATACCTATTCATGTGAATTTATATAGAAACTATAGTCGTACATATCCACCTTGGTATACTACTGAAATTATAAAAAATATCAAAACTAAGGCTAAACTTTTTAAAAAGAATAAAGAACGTCAGAGCTTACAAATTTTAAATAAATTTAAACATTTGAGAAGGTTAATAAAAGATCAGATTAAGGAAGCTTATAAGAAGTATGTTCAAAATTCAATTTCATACAATCCACAAAAGTTTTGGTCTTTTATTCATTCAAAAAATAGATGCATTAGAATACCCGGCAAAATGAGGGATGGAAATCTTTGTTTAGATAATTCTCAAGACATCGTCAATGCTTTTGCAAATTTTTTTGAAAGAACTCGATATCTCTAATAGTTCATGCAACAACTCAGCATTCATTAATTTTGAACCTATATCTGAATTTGAAATTGTATTAGCTTCCAAAAAATAAAGATGACATCTGGGCCAGATAAATTACCCTCATTCATTATAAAAGATTGTATATCTGTGTTTGTTGTTCCTTTAAAAATATTATTTAACTTATGTTTGAATACAAATATATTTCCACTTGATTGGAAACAACCAAAGGTGTGCCCAATTTTTAAGAATGGCAACAAAGTGAATATTGAAAATTATCGTCCTATATCTATCCTTTCCAACTTTTTTAAAATTTTTGAAATTATACTGTATAATCATATATACGTTATTAGAGGTCAGTTAGTAGTGGAACAGCACGGTTTTATCATGAACAGGTTCACTGTTACAAATTTGATAGTATTTACTCAATTTGTATCTGATACTTTAGATAAAGGTGGTCAAGTGGACACTATACAGATTTTGCAAAGGCATTTGACAGACTTGATCACCAAATCCTTTTAAAGAAACTTGTCGAATTTGGCTTTAATAGCAACGCGTTATCACTATTTAAATCATACTTAAATAATAGAGCAATTTGTTTCATATAATGGGTTTGTATCACCCAATTACTTTGCAACTTCAGGAGTCCCTCAGGACTCAAACCTAGGGCCTTTATTATTTCTAATTTTTATTAACGATATTTGTCAAGTAGTTGACTGCAATAAGCTATTATTTGCTGATGATATGAAAATCTTTACATCGATTTATTCCATAGGTGATTGCTTAAAATTACAGAAGTCTTTAACCAATTTGCAAACTTGGTGTTCAAATAATAAATTGCATCTTAATATATCTGTGGGGTGCCTTCGGGTGTGGACTGTATTTTGTTTTTTGTTTTTTACAATGATCCCCACTAATGATTTTTCACTTGTCGCAAACAATCCAATGAAATTAAGCACAAATGCACAGTTTACTATTTATTAACTTCCAATAAGTTGTGTGGAAAATAAAAATGTCGTACGTCAAGAGAGCTCTTTCCCGCGAGACCGATACGGTACGGTAGAGAGTGCCGCTGCTAGCAGTAATGATATAGTGTGCGATTAATAATGTTAGACCATAAAGACTGTTTGAGGGTTAATCAAATGTTTTATAAATATCGCACCCTTGCTTCAAAAGTGTCACAAGTCAAAATCCTTAATTTTTCAGAAAAGATGAAAAAGCTCTAGCGACAAAAGTAACTAAATTGTTTAAAAACATTATTGATGATTATAAAGGTTTCAGCAAAGGGGCCAAAAACCAAATAGCATTTTGGAACCATTTTAACTGCAACTAACTGAAAATCAAAATCAATGGTGGTATTATGTCAAAAATTGAATTTTTTGAGTTGTGACACTTTTGAAGCGAAGGTGCGATATGTCAATATGTCATAAGAAAAAATGTTCAGTTAGTTAAACATTCTGTAAGAAATAGAATAAAATATCTTCACATTTTGGTGCCGAAACCAGGGATCGAACCAGGGACCTTTAAAAAACGTAACGGGGGTGTTTAACTAAAGTTAACAAAAAGTAACGAGTACCGAGTGCAGTAAGGTAAAGCAGTAAGCAGTTAAGAAATAATAACGAAAATGGATCTACAATTCAGGAAAACGTGTCGTGCCAAAGTTACCAGATTAATAAAGGAAGCAGAAGATTTATTAAAAGCCGAAATAGCGGTGGAAGAGCTAAGTGTAATGTTGGACAGACTAACAGTAGCAAATAACAACCTAAAAGAAGCTAATGAAAAGGCGTTACCGCATGTAAAAGAAGAGAAATATGAAGAGGAATTCGAACAAATTTTGGATTATGACGATAGAGTGGCCATAGCGACTTCGAGGTTAAAGCAGAGGGTAAGCAGTCAGACGCAGGCGGAGGAGCAAGGGTCTCGGCAGAATGCAGCGTCGATAGAGGGGAACAAGCATAGAGGTGACTCCTGTCAACGTCAACAACAGGCAGTGCCGGACCAGGAACAGGGAGTAGGTATTTCGGGTGTTGTATATGCAGCTTTCAACACGGTGAGACTACCTAAACTAAATTTGAAAATCTTTAACGGAGATTTGCATGACTTTATTCCGTTTTGGGAACAATTTAAGAGTGCCGTCCACGAAAATAAATTTTTAGATGGTGCCGCTAAATTTAACTATTTAAGGTCGGTACTAACGGGAAGGGCTCTCGAAACGATAAACGGTTTAACACCATCAGAGGCGTGCTATAACGATGCAATCGAAATGATAAAAAACGAATTCGGTAATAAAGAACGAATTGTTGACAGCTATATACAACAATTAATAAATTTAAATCCGGTAAAAGGAAAACATGACGTCACAGGATTACGAAAATTATATAATACCACCTCAGCTGTTACACGCTCATTAAAGGTTTTAGGCATTTCAGCGGATAATTACGGACTAATGGTAAAAACTATTTTAATAAAATCTTTGCCATTTCAGTTAAAAGTAGAGTTTAATAAATTGTCAGAATTTGATTCGGATGCAGAGGAGTGTAGCAGTCAAGAAAGAGCAGATACAAGTACAATTAAATGCGAAAAACAGATTGAGCTACTCTTGAAATTTATAAAACGTGAAGTAGATTCCGTCGAATCTGCACAAGCTATATCGGGTACAGCCAGTACAAGCAGTGGTGTATCGAGAGAAGAACGGAACAGTATTGGTAGAAATAAAAATGACAAGTCATATAATCCGCGAACGGTTTCAGGACTTTTTACGAGTGTAACGGACAATAAATGCTTGTTCTGTGACAATAATACGCATAATACATTTAACTGTAGAAATAAATCACTGACAATTGAACAAAAAAGGAACATTTTAAAACGAAATTCGCGATGTTGTAAGTGTACTAAGCCAAATCATACCGCTCGCGATTGCAAAAACAATAAGTTAATGTGTCAAAACTGTAAAGGTAGACATTGTACGGTGATGTGTGATCCAGACTACAAAAAACGTTTAAACGAAAAGAGAAATGCGGGAAATAACGCGAAAGACTTTAATACTAATTGTAACGCAGATAGTACAAAAAATAATGAACAATCGGCAGCATTAATAGCAAATGGGTATTACAACGACGTACTGCTACAAACGGCGTGTACCTTTATTTCGCCAACGAATGAATTAAAACAGGATGAAATGTTTATACGCATAGTATTCGATGGAGGAAGTCAGTTAACATTTATCAGGGAAAATATTTCCAAAAAATTAAAATTAAAAATTGTGGGTACACATAAATTATCTATTATTCCATTTGGCTCATCCGATAAAGGCCCGCAGCAAAATTGTAATAAAGTTGAGTTTTATTTGCGAAGCCAATATACAAAACAATACATAAAACTGTATGCGATCGAAGTTCCCGAAATATGTTTTGATGCTTTAAGTAGCCCGCCTACAAATATTAGAAAATTAAAAGAATTTGAATTAGCTGACGCAAGACCGGAAGGAAGAGAACTTGTTAAGGGAATATCTGTGTTGATAGGAGCGGATAACTATTGGAAATTAGTAACCGGTGAAACAGAAAAAATAACCACGGAGTTAACGGCTGTAAATACTATGCTAGGGTGGACGTTACATGGGCCTACTTCTATAGATAGTTATAGCGTAAATACTAATATAATTACTGTTTTGCATACAAATGTTCAAGAAGAGCCATTCAGTTTGAAGCATTTTTGGGAGTTAGAAACTATAGGCATAGATAACCCTGATAATTCAAATAGTAAACTAAATGAAAATTTTACAAGAAAGTTTTGTGAAACGAATATTAGATTTCAGAATAGTAGATATGAAATAGAGTTACCCTGGAAAGTAGAAAACTTTAAGTTAAATGATAATTATGATCAAGCACTAGCGAGAGTAAAAAATTTAACAAGAAATCTATCTAAAAATTCTAAGCTACTTGAATATGATAATGCAGTTCGAGATTATTTATATACAGGGTGTGCTGAAACGGCACCGGAGACTCAAATGGTGGGTAGGACTTACTTCATGCCGCATAGACCAGTTTATAGAGACGATAAGGATACTACGAAAATCCGAGTTGTTTTCGATGCATCAGCGCATGCGCCTGGTTTTGCATCTTTGAATGAAAGCTTGTTATGTGGTGACAATTTGATTCTAGATTTAATTAAGATATTACTTAATTTTAGAGTTGGTTGTATTGGGTTATGTGCAGATATAGAAAAAGCGTTTTTACAAATTTCGTTATCAGAAAAGGATAGGGATTCTCACAGTTTTCTATGGTATGAAACCGAAATTAAAAACGAAGAAAATTTACCAAATTTAGTCAGTTATCGAATGAAACGTGTAACATTTGGGGTCACTACAAGCCCATTTCTTTTAGCGTCTACAATACTTAAGCATTTAAATGAACAAGCGATAGAGTATAGTCAAACCTGTGAAATATTAAAAGAATCGTTTTATGTAGATGATTTTGTATTTGCCGCAGAAAGTGTAGATCAAGCTTTAAAAATATTTGATGAATCTGTCAAAATTATGAATACTGCACAAATGAACCTACGAAAGTGGATTAGTAATAACGATTACGTAAGAAATATTTTCAAAGAAAAAAATGTACACAACGTAGCTATTTGCCCAAAAATATTAGGTGTTTTCTGGTATATCTTACAGGACGAGTTGGAAATAAGTTTAGACTCAGTAATTAATTGCGTCATTGACAATAATGATATTACAAAACGAAATATTTTAAAAATGGTTTCAAAGATATACGATCCCTTAGGATTTCTAGGCCCATACACCATCATACCAAAAATATTGTTACAAACCATTTGGAAGGGAAAATATGATTGGGACAGTACATTACCACAAGATATTCAAAGGGAATGGAAAATTTGGATTAAAGATATAAAACTTTTGAACGATTTAACTTTTCCCAGATGCGTAGTAAAAAATCTGCAAATACCAGTACAGCTACACATTTTTGCTGACGCCAGCCCTAAAGCATATGGAGCTGTCGCGTACATAAGGATATGTGAAAATAATATTAATCATTCCAACATTTTTATGTCAAAATCCAGAGTTGCGCCAATAAAGCAGAGCGAAGATGAACTTTCTTTACCCAGGTTGGAACTAACGGCAGCTGTTTGTGCTGCAAGATTAAAAAACTACATAATGAAAAATGTCAAACTGAATGTGAAATCCATATATTTATGGACGGATTCCAAGATCACACTGCGTTGGATTATAGAAAAACCAGAAAGGTGGAAACCATATGTTGCGAATAGAGTCAGAGAAATTCAGTCACTGACAAAAGATTCGGTGTGGAGACATTGCCCAGGACAAGACAACCCTGCAGATTTAGTGACGAGAGGTATTAAAGCAAATAAATTAATAACCTCAACATTGTGGAAATTTGGTCCTTATTATTTACGTGAATCGGAAGAAAGTTGGCCCGAAGATGACGATGAAATGATGGATGATTATCAAGGAAATTTTGTATTGAATACACAAACCGTGGAAGAGGTATCCGATCCCTTATTTGATTTAAACAGATATAGTAGCATAAACAAAATTCTGAGAGTAACAAGTTATGTTTTGCGATTTATTAGCAACGTAAAATTTAAACAAAAAATTGTTGGCAATTTAGGTGTAGAAGAACTGAAAAGATCCGAAGTACATTGGCTAAAATATATTCAAAATAAAGAATTCCCAGCTGAAACCAAGTCGCTGAAAAATAATGAACTTTTACCTAGGACTTCTGCTATTTTATCATTGTCACCATTTTTAGACCACGATGGACTAATGCGACTCGGGGGAAGATTACAAGAAAGTGAACTATCTTATGAAACGCAGCACCCAATTATATTACCAAAGTCAAGTCCTTGGATAAACAAGATTATTACTCACACTCACGAAAAGTTGCATCATGGAGGTGTAAATATTACTTTAGCGGAAATACGGAAGAAGTACTGGATCCTAAGAGGTAGACAAAAAATTAAATCCATTTTATCGAGATGTGTGACTTGCAAAAAATTTAGAGGAAAACCTGGAGATACCCAATTTGCTCCCTTGCCACGAGAACGAATTTTATCAAGTAGAGCATTTGATGTTATAGGTACCGATTTTGCTGGACCTCTTTATATAAAAGAAAAAGAACAAATAAGAAAGGTTTACGTCATGTTAATAACATGTGTTGTAACACGCGCAGTGCATTTGGAGTTGGTTCCGAATATATCTACAGAGTGTTGTCTGCGAGGTCTGCGTAGATTTATGGCAAGAAGAGGAGTGCCGAGTGTGATTTATTCAGATAATGCCAAATCTTTCAAAAGATCAGCATTGGAACTTGAAGAATTTAATACCATATTAAGGGGTACAGATATTCATTCATTTGCTTTGAAAAGTCGAATAACCTGGAAATTTATTGTTGAAAGAGCCGCATGGTGGGGCGGATTTTGGGAACGTTTAGTAAAAACCATAAAGGATTCATTGAAATTTAATATAGGTAAAGCCATTCTCGGATTTGACGAATTACAAACGGTGCTGACTGAGGTAGAAGCCATTGTAAATTCCAGACCATTGACGTACATTGATGATGACCCAGACAATATGTGTATCTTAACACCAGAAAAATTTTTGATTGGTGATGCTGTATCCAATATTACCAAAGATATACGTGAGACAGCAATTAAACGTAACGATCTTTTACAAAAATGGAAGACGCGAGAAATAAGTTTAAATAAATTCTGGAGAAAATGGACTACGGATTATCTACAGCAATTACGCACAGCCCATCATTTTGATCCGAAAAGAACCACATCATTTGAAACGGGAGACGTCGTATTATTACACGACCAGAATATGCCAAGAACCCTTTGGAAAATGGTTCGCATTACGAACATTTATCAAGGTAGAGACGGAAAAGTGCGTGCTTGCGAAATTAGGGTTCCTAACGGAAAATTGTTGAAACGACCAATCCAACTGTTATACCCCTTAGAATTAGAAACTGAGGGTAAAGTACTCCGTACTTCGGGGCCCGAGGATTATGTGGAAAATAAAAATGTCGTACGTCAAGAGAGCTCTTTCCCGCGAGACCGATACGGTACGGTAGAGAGTGCCGCTGCTAGCAGTAGTGATATAGTGTGCGATTAATAATGTTAGACCGTAAAGACTGTTTGAGGGTTAATCAAATGTTTTATAAATATGTCAATATGTCATAAAAAAAAATGTTCAGTTAGTTAAACATTCTGTAAGAAATAGAATAAAATATCTTCACAAGTTGTACATTACATTAGAACGTAACAAGTACTCAAACTCTCACCTGCTTACGTGACAGACTAACTTAATACTACTGTTCTGCGCTTCTCTCGCTTCCTCCTTCAGAGGGGGGGCTTGGTGTCCATGCGCAATAACCCAACAATACCCAAATGTAAAATTGTTTCTTACACCAAGAAGAGACTACCTATTATTTTTAAATATGTTATTACTGACATTGCACTTTCTCGCTATGAAACTATGACCTTGGTGTACTTTTTGATTATAGTTTACCTTTTCGGGAACATATATTCACTAAAATAAATGAGGCAGCAAAATCGTATGGCTTCATATTAAGAAACTGTAGAAACTTTAGAAACATTAAAACTTTAAAAACATATTATTCGTTTGTCAGGTTTAAATTAAAATATGGTTGCATCATTTGGAATCCATATTATCAGTGTTATAAAATCAGTATTGAAAGAATTCAGAGAAAGTTTTTAAAATTTTTGTATTTTAAAGAAGTTGGAAATTATCCAGAATTTGATACTCAATACAATACGTTGCTGACAAGATTTGATATTACCAGTTTAGACATAAGATGTTCTTCACTCTTTTTTAACAAAATATTACATAACGGTTTTGATTGCTCTGTTTTTCTGTTTCAAATTCAGTTTAATATACCCAGAGAACTCTCAAGACATACGAAAACCTTTTTTCTTAACATCCCTAGAACGAATCTTACTTTAAAATCGCCTTTATATGTAATGTGTTGTAGCTTTAATAAATTATGCCACTTGTGCGACATTAATTTTGATAATTTTGAGCGTATATTGGTTGTTGCTATACAATTACTAAATCAGGAACGTATCTTTTGATGATATGTGGATTATCTTTGTATTTTTTTTGTATACCTGATCGGCCTCTTGCACATGTCGGATTTTTTATGTTAGTTCATATAATATGGCCTTATTTAAAATTATTAATTATAAAATCTTTTGTGAAAAATTCTACTCAAAAATTGACTAAATCGTATGTTGAAATTTGGAGATGAGCATCCTGTAGGGGTGTGTCGTAGAACGAGTTGCTATTGGTGCGACGTCATCGGTAAGTAAACTGGCCGCTTCACATTAGAAAATGATGTCGGTCCTATTACTTCTTAAAAACATTTATTATTTTTAGTTTACATACGATACGATAACGATACTGATGTGCCGTTATATTTATTAACTGGTTTCCATTCTATTATGTAGGTATACCTAAATATGCACCTATGTAGCAAAATAATTAAATCTGTGTAGGTGTATTATTTAATTTTTACGGCGTTTAGTTCAAGTGAGCTTTCCTCGGGTAGCATAATATTATTTACTATCTAAATAATATTTTGAATCTAAATTTGTTATTTTAAATAATCATAATTAGTTTTTATTTTTTTATGACCGAACAAGGTTATGCTAAAGCCCAATCAGACAATTTACCGAATTCCATGACGATTGGGAAGTTTTTTCGAAAAGCATTTTATTTTATTCGGCAGAGATAAGGGGAATAAAAGCAAACAGGTATGAAAATGTGATTTATAGATATCTACATTTTATTTTAAAATGCATTTTTTTCTGGCGTTTTTACTGATATATTTTCACACATCGCATCGGTACAATGCACCAGTAATAGTATTAGACTAGGCGGTATCTGTTTTGGTTTGGGTGAATCGTATATCCACAGAGATTTTTGGCTTTCAAATATCACTAGAAATGAAAATTTTTCTATGCTCTCCTAATTCCCACACAGCACAGTGACATTCGTAGGATGTACTGAGGATAACTTTTCAGGATATATAGGATATCCTCGGATAGGTACACGATCACCTCAGGATGTACCAGGTGTATCCAAATGGAACCTCCCCGGCTTTGCGTGTGACGTCCTGAGGACATCCGCCTGGCTATATACAGGACATTGTCAGGTTATCAGTGGATCAAATGAGGACAACCTAGGCTTTACTGTTGATGTCCTCAGGACATCAGCCGGGCTATTATCAGGTTATCAGTGGATCAAATGAGGACAATGTAGGCTTTACTGTTGATGTCCTCAGGACATTAGCTGGGCTATATACAGCACATTTTTAGTACTTATTGGGCTAATAAAAAAAATTACAGGGTGGTATTAAATATTTCTATAGATCAAATACGTACCTAATTTCCAAAACATTTGCTTGCCATTTCCACTTCATCTATTTTTTATTCAATAAAAAATATTGACAAAAAAATGAAAAGGGAAATCTGATCATTTATCTATTATTATTATAATACGAGATTTGATTTCTTTGAATACCACTGGAATAAAAATTAACAATACAATATTTTGGATCTGTTGATTAGATTCGTCATACATACGTGAAGTGTAGTTTTAAAATTCTCTTTTCATGAGATTTAAAGACATTTTAACATTTTTCTGCAAGAAGTATTCCATCGTTGACACAGGTATGTATTTTTTAAACATTTTACTCACCCACTTATTAAAATCTGACGAGAAAATTCTGTAACACAGCCACCGGAAGATATTTTTCTGTTTAAGACAACAACTACTACAGACAAGTCTACATACAAGTTTTCAGAAACATCTCCAAATTATTTAGATATACACATTAACGGTTCATATTATTCATAAAACTGGTTTGAGGCATTTTTTTAAACAGGAACAAATAAGACCTAAAGTACTTCATGAGAATAAAACATAAACTTTAATAACACTTATTTTTAAACTGAGTTCTTGAATAAAAAAATAAAATTGAACTGAATTTTTTTATTCATTGCACATTATAAATATAAACTTAAAAAGCAAATTTCACATGTACTTATATATATATAATCAACTCTTTCTATGATACATATAACCAACTTTTTTATTACAGAATATAAACAAAGTTATATACACAACTAAGTTATTATTTGTATTATATGTATAACTATTCCTTATGTGCTGTTGATCTGGTCTCTTTTTATAGTCTCTCATTTGCATGCCGCGACATGTTTTAATGCCCTCCCCATTATCTTTTTCTGGGCAATTTTTTGTGCAATGTGCTTGTGAAATTCCAGCTGTAAATTTGTAGAAAAAGTATGTTAATAATACATTTACATTGTAGACGAGTGACAAAACAAAAATTTTCATTAAATACATTTAACGAGACTATTCTAATTTCATGAACTATGGATTATAATCTGTTGATATTAAATTTAATTCTAATATTCTAATAGATAATACGTAATTCTGCCTACGATTTATAATGTAATCCTTATAACTCACAATGTTGGTACAAATATTACAGACAGAGAACTATAATAAATTAATTAAATTTATGGGATACAATCCTTTGTCAGAACACCTATATACAACACATTCAAAACTAAAAATTATAGATTTGAACATATTATGTAGATTTGGTGATACCACTTATACACATCTATTACAAATAGTGATAAAAACTATTCTAATTTTTGAATGGTATTAGGCTCTATATAAAAAATATTTGAAAACATGTTTTTTTAATGCGTTCTTTAGGCATTATATAATTATTGCATGATACAAACAGTAAGAACAAAATTAGTTAATACTATATACGATTCTAACCTATATGTTTATTCTATGATATCAATACCTTAATACCAAAGGTAATTTAAATACTTACTTCTGCCAGCAGGTGGTTGATGCACGTCACTTAACTATTTTAACAAGCTTTAAATTTCATTCTCCACTTTTGAAATTAATAAAAACGTCATCGAGTCCCGCATTTATAAAACAAAGAAACACAGAAAATGGCGAGATAGTCGAGATACGGGTCATGTCGTCAATATGTCATACTGCGCATGCACCATGCACTGTGCAAAGCCAAAAACCATCCCTTTCCCAGGATGGGATCACTAGAATTTGCCTAGGATATCCCAAAATTGGAGATTGTTCGGCTTTTAATATCTTCATAGGATATTTCCAGGACATCCTGTTTGGATTTACCTGGGATATCCCCAACTAGGATATTGATAGGATCTACTTGTCTTATTTAAATATCATCAGGATATCCTGAGGCGTGAGATCCCCGATTAGGATATATAAGACTAAATGAGGATATCCCAGGGACGTCATGTGGTGTGTGGGTTGACGGATTCGAATTTTTCAAAAAGCGTTTGAAAGCTTGAGAGACCTTCTATAAGTGATTAAATTTTCAAGTATCTAAGGGCCTTGATTTTTGCTGTGCAAAATTTTCAAAATTTGCACATTTTTTTTCAAAATCTGGATTGCAAAATTATGCAAAATCTATCTAACCGATTTTGATAAAATTTGGTGTGATGATTCTACATAACACGAAGTTTTCTTGAGCCAAGTATGAAAGTCCCAACCCAATTTAAAGACCTCAAAAAGATTCCCTAAAAAGTAATGTTTTTAACCCCATACTTGGCAATTATTTCGATTTTTACAATAATAATCATGATTCATTCGATTTGTAACTATACTCCACGGTCGAAATTATAGAGAGTAGTGATGGGAGATTTCGAGTGAAAAATCGAGTGGTACTCGATTATTGAGATTTAGTGCATACTGCAAATAGTCACTGATTGCACTTTTTTTTAGAATAAAACGAAAAAGTGGTTAGTTTTTGAAGTGCGTGAGCTTTTTTTTTTTTTTTTTTAGCTACGCTTATAAGTAATATATGACTAATACAAACATATTTGTGTGCCGCTGGGATGAAAACGACCAATATCTCGTATCTCGAGTGATCACTCGATTACCGATAACTCGATTATCAAAATTGGTCGATTATGCCCATCACTAATAGAGAGTAATTCATCGCTAGCTTTTGGACTAGTAAGGGGGATGACGCGTGCCGGGAACGAAAATCCATTGGCGTGTCTGCGTAAAAGGCAACAAGATATAGAAAATAATGAAAAAAGATAATAAAACAACGTCTAATATTTTTTACGGTTTGCTATAATAGGCACTTTGATCCATTTTAATTATTACAGCATTTTAAAACGTCCAATTGTATTTTTTTAATTTATAAATTTATTATAGCCATGGAATTAGACCCCTCGTCTACGCTTATGCTATGACGTTTCTCAGGACGGGTTAAATCAAGTCCGTTTACACGCACTAAAAAAGCATTTCCCTATTTCCTACCAAGTGCAAAAGACAGAGATAGAAGATAGATCGACGTTCAGTGTAACTCGGTCTCTAGACGGTTATAGATTTTATCGATGTGCGTAGTGAGCGGCACAAAGATAAATAATATTGAACCGTATAAAAATCATTTTATATTTTATACGCATTATGGTAATAGTGTTTTTATATTATGTCTTAGTCACTCTTTATAATTTCGACCGCGGAGTATAGTCATATTTTGTAAAAAAAATAATTACAAACATTTTTTTCCTGTTCCATTTTCGCCTAAAATGAACTCTTGAAAAGATACATAATTAAATAGGAAGGAAAATATGACATTTTTCGATTTTTTTTAACATGTTGTGCCGCCAAAAGTTAAGCCCACGTTTTTTTTATGCGCATAGAAAAATTTTCATTTCTAGTGATATTTGAAAGCCAAATAGCCAAATATGGACTTTTTGAAATAGATGCTGTCTGAACTATATGGTTTAGAGGAATTTGCCATAGTTATTATAAGTTTAACTTCACAAATTTACAGTATACTGGGTGATTCAGTCATAATGTCTTTAATTTTAAGAGCAGATAGAGAAAAATGAGTATAATACGATGGCGTGATTAAAAAAAATTAAATGCATATTTAAGCTGAAAAAAAAATACCGACGGGTAGTGTGCGGGTTTTCATCTGACCAAATGTGACTATTATGGCTACAAAGAAATTAGCTGTTTCACTTTAAATAAAATTTAATATTGAAGTTACAAAACTCCAAAAGTTCAAATAATTTAAATTTCATTTCATTATACATTTCAATTTCGTTACAGAAATAATGACATAAAAAACAACACTAGATAAATTATAAAGAGAGGATGAAATGTATGTAGTAGGTATTTAAATATTGACTGTACGTAATAGAAGAGAGACTTGTATATTCCATAAAAAACAATGGGACGGAGACAAATAAACAACTCGGTACATGTTTCCGACCTAGGTTAACCTGTGGTTCACTAACATTTTAACCCACTTTTGATGCACGTGTACCATATAGTCCAGGAGCCAGATAGGGTTCCGTAGCCAGAGTGCCACGGCTGCGAATAACTTATTCATAAGTATTTGACCTCCTGAATCCAAAAAACTTGGTCGCAAAGCCTGAGAGTAGTCAGTTTAATTGTTATCAATAAATTAAATGTTTAAATGGCTGTAAAAAGTTTATTTTTTATAGCTAGTACAATTTTTTTATTCGTTAATAGTTACGTTTTCTCTAGGTAAGTTCCATTTATTAATTTATTTATTTAATAATTAATGGCAGCTTAGAAAGTTGTGAATTTCAACGAAAATGCTGGTTTTAATTGTTTATAAGTTTTTTTTTATTATTCAGCTTCGACGAAAGCCAAAAAAGTTACCGGATATTGTTCTTTGCATCCTAACAATCATGCAAGGCATGAAATCATTGTTAGGATGCGAGGAACAATATCCGGTAACTTTTTTGGCTTTTCATCGAAGTTGAATAATAAAAAAAGCCTTATAAACCAATAAAACCAGCATTTTCGTTGAAATTTCACAACTTTCTAAGCTGCCATTAATTATTAAATAAATAAATTAATAAATGGAACTTACCTATCTTGTAAAATAAAGTTCAAGCTTTAAAATGAGATGTCGTGCGTCTCAATCCGTCCAGTAGAACCAGATATGGTAAAATTAGTGCGCGCGGAGACGGAAAATGTAAGATATTTGCACTAAATTTGCAATAACTTTGGTTAAAGTTAATCTTTTTTTAATTTTCAAAAAAATATATGTTTGTTATGAGAAAACGTAACTATTAACGAATAAAAAATTGTACTAGCTATAAAAATAAACTTTTTACAGCCATTTAAACATTGAATTTGTTGATAACAATTAAACTGCCCACTTTCAGGCTTTGCGACCAAGTTTTTTGGATTCAGGAGGTCAAATACTTAAGAATAAGTTATTTGCAGCCGTGGTACTCTGATTGGCTACGGAAACCTATCTGGCACCTAGACTAATACGAGTGTAGTAGGTATTCGATGCAAAGCAGAGCAAAAAGTTGTCGGTCTTTTATCAAAGGAAAATCGTGTCAATAAATTGTCATGTTAAATAATACACAGTTTTAGTACTTCAATTTATTATTCAATATGCAGTTGCGTATAACCAAAGTTTACATAATAAATGTAAACTTTAGTGTAAATG